TGTGTGTGTGTGGCCAGCTCAGCCCACCAGGGGGCGGGGCTGGCTGGCATGTGGTGCTGGGGGATCGAACCACGGTCCCTGATGCCTTGCCAAGCTTGTTCCAAGTAGGTGCTTTAGACCACTGAGCCATCTCTCCAGCCCCAAAATACATAAATTAAAATAATTTTTTTAAAAAAATCTTCACAACTTTAAGGATACCTATGCCCTTATTTAAATGTAAACTAGTTAACCAAGTCCAGAGGTAAACCAAAGCCCTGTAAGATGTTTCCAGCTCCCTTCCTGGAGGGGATGAGAGGAGAAAGTGAACTTTTACTAGTTTTTCCTGCCATTTCTGACCCCACCAGGTTCCACTTTTATTATCACTAAGCAAAGGCTCTGAGCCCAAACTGTACTTCACTTCGCAAAACTCGAATAGAGAATGAAGAAAAGAGACCCCCTAAGCAGTCCCCTCCAGCATTTTATTTTTTTCCATAACTTCATTGAGAAACAAATAGCAATGAGACAGTTTCAAATCAAATTAGTAGGACAATTTCAATAATTAACTCATTGCATACTGTCTTCCTAGTGGTTATTTTTTATACAAGATGCAGACATGATATCCTATTTACAAACACTATTAGAACAAATTCCTCTATTCACTGAATTAAGAGAATGTAGCCGTATATCCCCTCCAGCATTTTAAAAGTCTTACCTTCATTATCATAAGAGCCAGCCACAGATCGGGAGATATAGCCAGGAACGACAGCAATCATGGCAGCAGCAAGAAGCCCAGCCCCCGCGTCCTGTTGAGAAAAGATGAACAATAAGCAGTTACCACCAATATACCCATTAAAGAAGAGGATCCACTATGCAACTGAGTATTCAGAAGCTAAAGGCAGGGAAATCCTGCTTTCTGTCAACCACCAAGGCTTGCCCCGAAATAGGTAGTGTGACCACAAGTGTTCCAGGCTCATCAGTCCCTTTCCTCTAACAATGATTACAAATCATAGGAACACCACTCACATATTAAAAAGCCACGCAGTGACAAAGGGAGAGAATTACTTAATTAGAAAGCCAATCCAAAGGGCTGGCTAGATAGCTCAGTGGACTAATGCACCTGCTTAAGCAGAGCGCAGTGGCCAGGGTTTGATCCTGGGTGGGCTGAGCCATGCTGGCCCCGGCCCCAGGGCTAGCTGAGATGGCGACTGAGACTGGGCGTGGTGGTGCATGCCTGTAATCCCAGTGCTTGGGAGGCTGAAAACAGGAAAATCACTACCAGTCCCATGTCCATAGTGAGACCCTGTAGACCCTGTACAAAAAAAAAAAAAAAAGAAAGAAAAAGCCAATCCACCTGAAGATGTCAGGAGCTTAGGAAATAAAATGGGAATATCACCAAGCAACCTTTGAGCTCAGGAAAAACGACAAACAAAATAAAATCCACACCCCAAAAGAAAAAAGACCTATGGGGTTGGTAAGAGTTAATCTGGCCAAGGGCAACAAGGAGAAGGATAAAAACTTTTCCGAAGTAAATTCAGGCTTCCCAAGCTCTCCTACTAGTTTATCACCTCAGGTATCTTCCTAATACCAAGCCACTGAATACGAACAGATTCTACGGAAATAGGGTTAGCAAAGCTAAAAGCGGGACAAAAGGAGGAATCAGCATTAGAGTCAATTACAGAAACCAAACAGTTTAAGAATTTTTAAATGTGGGGCTGATAAGATAGCTGAGCGGACTAAAGCACTTGCTTAGGCAAGCTTGGACAAAGCACGGGGACATGGTTCGATCCCGGCTGTGCCAGCCCCCCGGGGCTGGCTGAGCCAGCCAGAGCCCTGGCATGGTGGTGCACGCCTATAATCCCCATGCTGGGGAGGCTGAAAGCAGGAGGATCACCACAAGTCCAAGCTGCATAGTGAGACCCTGCAACAGCCAAATACATTAAAAATAATAATAATAAAATTAGGAGGCCGGGGAGATGGCTCAGTAGAAAAAGTGTTTGCCTGGCAAGCACAAGGGCCTGAGTTCAACTGCTGGTTCCGCCAAAAAACAAAAATTAATAATAATAATAATAGGGCTGGGGAGATGGCTCAGTAGAATAAGTGCTTCCTTGGCAAGCACGAGTATCTGAGTTCAATCCCCAGTTCTGCCCAAAAAAA